GAATATTGAACACAAAGATTTTCAATTAGTCCGATTATTTCAATTGCGAGAGTGAAAAAGGACCGCTCAGCTCAAGCTGCCTTCATAGATTTATGTATATGCAGTCGAAAGTTCCGCGCGAATTCAAGCGCGTACAGAAATTGTAATATTTTTAGCACTCAATAACTATATGTACAATAGCTCAAATTACACTAATCCATTCTTTTAAGAAAATCTTCCAATACTCTTAAGTACATTTGGACCTCATTCTCGATAAAAATTACTATTAAACAATTTTATTGAGCTTGGAAGCCGTTTTTTTTTATGAAAACTATTGTGGAAAAAACAACAATAATTTATAAATGATATAAGTTATAGCTGATATTGCGGAGATCACCACATCTCCTCATCAGACTTCATCAGTGGGATTCGACGCAACCCCAACTGAATCAGCCAGTGGCCTAAACACTGTGCCAACTTCGCCTTATAAACTGTTGTTGATTTTTCCACCCCTTTTCATGTGAGCCAACTACCTACAATCAAGTGCAGCTATTCCGCTGCAATTTTCACTTGATCATGTGGTTGTTGGTTTTTGTTAATAATTCTATTTTTAAAATACTTAGCTTTTAGGTGTGCCCGTCCTTCAGTTATTTGTTTTTGTTATTTTATAAACAAAAGTTGTAAATCTTAAATAAACGAACGAAAAATAGACAAGACTGTTCAAAATGTCACATAACCTAATCATCATTATTATTACATATACAATAAAAATAATAAACTCTTCCCATCCCCTCCCGTTCCAACTTTTTAAAATCCTTTGGTACTTTTTCATTATTTGACCAGTGATGTTGATCCGTTTCCTATCACCTCCCACTTTTTGAAATTTATTGCACTGTGTTTTTATTCTCCTCAGACACCCTGTAGTGTGTAGACTTCGTAAGTATTCCTCTCCGTTTTCACCGCCTATAGTTATGGAAATAGGGGGAAATTAAGTCGTTCGTCTATCCAGCAAGCATAATAAATACACACTCATACGTATATATACATATTTGTGTATGTATGTATATACATATCGACCTCTTTTATTAGCTATTATTTATTAAGTAATTCAAAAAATTAAAATTCCTTTCCCACTCTTTTAATTCATATAAAACTGCCGATTATCGCTCGCTTTTGCTGATTACATGCTCTCTTCATCAACCTCTTGAATATACACCGCCGAAAAACAACGCTCCTTGTACATATGTACATATGTATGTACGCCAATGCATAATTTTCGCAACAGAGTTGTTAAACACAAACTTGACCGACGACAACATTCCGCCAATATTCGGCTACATTACCGCAGAACTCCACAGGCAAACACCGATGGCCTACCAACTGTCATTTTGACGAGCAATGTGATTGCAAGTTTTTGTGTGTGGGCACTTTGATGTCTTGAAATAAGCATTTGCCGCATGACGCCACCAGACAACATTCTCTCATTTTCGGTGTTTAAAAACATTTAAATCTTTAAAAAACTTGCTGAATAATTTCCTAAAACGTAATCATAAATAATCCAATAAGGAACAGACTTTTATTTTGATTTAATATAAAAATTTCATCGATGTTACCACCAGCACGCTTTCTTTCAAATGAAAATATGGCTGTCAAACTATCGAATTGCCTGCAATAGATGTCAAGCAATAAGCGCTGACATATATTGCAGCACATGAGAAATAGGCGGTCTCCATTGGAAATATATTTTGTGACATAGTTTTCACGACATCAGTGTTTTCCTGTGGAGACAGGGCCTTAGCAAAGGAAAAACAAAAATCAGGTGCTTCTATTCCTTTCCCCAGTGCTCTGTATGTATTGGCATATACTCTCTGCTGATAACATTGGCGCTCTTGTATTTGCTTGCTGCTGTTGCTCTTCATACGGCTGAATTACAAAAGCGGCCCCATCACTCCCACTGCTTACCTTTGCTGCTGCTCCTGCTGGTAGTGAAGACGAAGGAAAAATCAACATCGCGCACAACTTCGTTTGCCTACTCGTTTGGTACGTGGACACTCAGTGTGGAGCCGATGCTGGGCAGCAGCTTCAGTTGCTTTGATATAGTCAAAACGTGAGGATGATTTGTGTGATATAGTGCGAGGGCATATTAGTGATTTACGCCGTTATGTCGATACTGTTATGTCAAATTGATAATGACGCCGCGAATTTTCGTGGGTGGTTTTTGGCTGGCCACTTATTTGAATAACATAAATTTGAAAAGAAAAATAAATTTATAAAAAGTCGAAGGGATTGTGTGTTATTTATTCGCAAAGCAATATGAAATATTCGCGACGTAGTTGATTATAACGGGTGTACGAGAGTGCTAATAAAAAGGTTCCGAAGAACGAACACGATTGTGGGTGCACATGTTTTCATATGACTACACAAGCACGAACGAAGTACCTTTTGAAAAAAAAAAAATTAAATAAAACTATAAAATAAAACACTGATGAAAATGTCCACCACATATTTTTTGTGTGCCAAATTTATATGAACACGGTGAACTTTCGTTAGCGATATTTGTGTAGTTAAATAATTTGAAAATGAATAACAAAATTAAAATTTGAAAAGTGCAACAAAGGACAACAAAAACCGCGACTTACTTAATGCCAACGTGCGCGTGCACGTGTGTGCTAATAAACGGAATCCGAAGAACAAACACGATTGCGGGTGCACATACATAAGTATTTGTCATTGCACAAGCAAACATTTTCTCGCTATGCCAATCCGAGAAGTACTGGAACAACAACAATTTTAAAGAAAAACAGTGACTAAAATGTAGCACGAATTCTGTGAGCTCAATCTTTTAGTTGTGTTTTAATAAAAAACGAATAATCGAAGCATCAGCAGCTAAAACGTTACGGACATTTTTTTCGTTTGTGCAGGTCGCTTGCAACAACAACGCTATGTATATTATTGGTCCTTGTATCTGTGCAACATTGTGGCATACTGTGAACGTGTGAAATTGCAATAATTCATAAATGCAACCGGGAATTGAATTCGGCAATTTTCAACTCAACGCAACTGAACTGAACTGAACTCAACCGAACCGAGCTAAAGTGAGCTGAAGTGAACTGAAAAGTACTGTTGGGGCAATATTTCCCCATGTTGCACAGTTGCACAGTTGCGAGTTACCGCAGTGCCCGTTTGCCGTTGTCGGAAAATCGAATTAAACGCAAAAAAATTGCAAAAACAACCAACTCGCCTAATAGCCACATACAAACGTACCGTGGATATGTACATATGTGCATACATACATACAAACATAGTTAGTGCATATACATAAGTCCATACACATTTGGTTCAAATCACAAGTGCACAAAAGTAAATATTTATGTGTGTTTGTATGTGCGCGCTTGTGTATTTGAAGTTTGAAATTTCATTACGAATGTTGCACGATTGAGTCCGTTGTTGCAAGTGCAAAACATTTACACTATGCTTTAGTGTTGCAAAAGAAATTGAAAAAAAAAAAACACTCGCAAATTTATGACGCAGCTGTGTGTAGCGAAAATTTGAGAATTTCAACAAATTCTTGCCAAGCAAACATACAGACATAAATTACATTTTTGCCAGAGTTGTTGCAACGTCCACATGTTAGCAGCATCACAAAAATACTAGGGGCGAAACTGAAAACAACAAGCGTTGCGAGCAGACATAAAAAGGCATGATTTGTTATCCCAAAGGTAAATATTTGTTATGAAATCCTAACGAAATGTTTGCATGCATTCGAATATTTGAAGTTTGCACGGACCCCGCATGCATAGGTACATTCGTACATACAGTATTGGCCAATACAATAGCGCCCCCCTTTTCAGAGTGATATTGTTTGCCTCTCATGTTTATTTATTTATTTTTAGGAATTTTCAATTAAAATACAGTACATTCTTTAACAAAACTTATATAAACCAAAGTTTAAATATTAAAAAAAAAAACTACAAAAAAATGCAACAAATATTCACCGAAATTTCAAACTTTTTTCTCAGAAGTGCTAGAATTTTTTTGGGTACACAGTTTTATAGCTTTTTCAATTTTAGTCTAATAATGTGCAAGTTTCAAGTGGCTAAAAATTACCGTTGATTTTTTTTAGTTATTTTTTTCGCCGAAGGTGTTGCGGGTTTCTTCCATATAAAAATAAATTGTGTTTATTCGTTATATGCTAATTGAAACTTGCACATTATTAGACTAAAATTTAATGGGCTATAAAAGTTTGAAATTTTGGTCAAAATTTGTTGTATTTTTTTGCAGACTTAAAAAGCTTTAATCTTTGGTTTATCTGAGTTTTGTTAGAAACTCAACTGTATTTTAATTGAAAATTCTTAAAAATAATTAATTAAACATAAGTGGCAAACAATATCACTTTGAAATGGGGGTGCTATAGATATGTCCAATACTGTATATCAATACATACATATGTATGGTATCTAGTTATCCAACTAAATTACAGTGGCATCTGGATATTCTGTAAGCTCGATAAAACAAAAATCGCTATGAGCCTTAATAAAGCGCAGTACGGCGTGGTTAGAAATGTTTACTACACTCCGAATGGCCTCATTCCGATATCTAGTTCGAGTAACATCTAAAAATAGAAAAAGTTTTTGCTAAGTGCGGTCGACCTTCGGCTTTGTAAAAGCTTCTCATAAAACCATTTGCCATTCGGAGGTGGAGTAAAATTATAGGACCCTCGATTTGTGTTATACAAATTTAAGAGGAATCGGAATATTCTTTAATTAACTAGCATTATAACTGTAATTATAAATAGCTTGCCAGTAACCAAATTTCGGAGAGTAAGCCAATATTTACTCCCAATGAGAGAAGTTGCAAGTTTTATGATCAGCTGATCAATTTGTTATTTTCCGATGCAATCTTCTAAGAAAAATAGTATGTCCCATCGTATTATATATTTAAATCGGTTTATTTTGTAAATTGCAACTCTAAAAGCACCACAAACAATTCTTTTGTTAATGTGAATTACATTAAGCATTATGCCATCAGCTGTTTTTCTTACTGGAAAGTAGTTACTAGTAAAAATGCAAACAATAAAAATTCAGTAAAACTTGCAAGCTCAGCTGCCATTTTTGCTCTCTCAATTTCACCCCTTTGGCTAGTTTCTTGCAAGTTTTTGCGTATGAAAATGCCATCCAGTATAAACTAGTAAAATTATTGCTGGGTTTTACTGGATAGTGCGTACGCAAACAGGCCTATAGTAATTCGTATAAAGTGCATACATATTACATATATTTTGGGCCTCTATTTTGGGTCGGCATTCCACTGTACCATCAACGCATTGGTAGAAAAATGCCAATTGGTTGCCCATGTGAGTTCCAATATTTATGAGGACTAAAATATTTACACGTACGCATACATATGTACATACATTAGTTTGTTCATACCAGGCCATACTGAGTTAGGTCGCTCTTAAGCAAACACTTGGTTTGGATTTTTGTTTGCTAACTTAGGGCTGTTTTTCACTTTTCCACAAATTTAATTGTGGGTTTTCACTCCTTAGTGGACAATACTTCTGGGACATTCTTTGCGCTGCCCTTTGACAAGAATGAAATAATTATTTTGACTTCAAGATTTCAATTGAAAATTAGTGTAAAAATTAAGATTCAAGAAAAATATCAATCAGATATAGTTCAACATCTTCTTAAATTGAAACCCAGTGCGTTCGCGCTATGAGTAAATTACCGCTCGGCGCAAAAAAGCAATTGCTTTTTCTTAAAATTTCAGTTCATTTACTCAATTTATTCAAACAAAATTGAAGTAAATGTATGAAATTTTAAGAAAAAGCAATTGCTTAGTTTTTATTTATACGGCCCAATGTATGCACATTAGGGTGGTCCAAAAACAGTGAAGTCGGAATTGTAATGCTCTTACCCCCTAGGATTGTTCTATAGCGAAAAAAGCATACCCCTATTTTTTTATTTTGAAATCAAAAAATATTTAGATGTGGCTCAAAGCGCTCAAAATTTTCCATGTATTTTTATGTGGGAAAAATAAATTTTTTCGTAGAAATGGTATAGAATTCTTGAAAATCAATATTTTTCGATCGGAAAACTCTTGTTCTCTTCAGGATGCTTTCAATAATAATACCCAATCGTTTAGTTAACCATTTTTCAAAACTAACGATTTTTTATTGGTCGCTCCATTGCGTTTTTCGGTTTTTTGTGGGTTTTTGGCGGACCTATAAATTATACTTGCGATCAAAAAATGGTTAAATAAATAATTGGGTATTATTATTGGGAATCTCCTGCAGATAAATGGAGGTAGAAATTCAGGTAGAAAAATATTGATTTTTAACTATTCTACACCATTTCTACGAAAAGTTGGTTTTTACCTATATAAAATATATAGAAAACTTTGGGCGCTTTGAGCGACCTCTAAATATTTTTTGATTTCAAATTAAAAAAAATGCATTTTTGGACCATCCTAATGTACATATATGCTCATATTTCATTCAAAAAAATCCTTGCGCATTTTCATTCAACCAGTCATTGCTCTTTTAGTTATCCATCGATTTTCTTTATTAGTAGCTTATTTTTTTTTTGTAACTGGGCAGGCTTGAAAAAGCTAACAGTATATGGGTCGTTCTTAAAAAACATGACCATTCTGAATTTTGTAATTTTTAAAAATTAAGTTGGCCAAATATGTTTATAATTGGCCTCATGTGGTTACGGATGGTATCAACAATAGGAATCCATAACCAGCAGTATTTTTTTTAATTTTTGGAGTTTTTGGAGTTAATAAGTCACAGAGTGGACCGGTAACAGAGGGGACAAATTAACTCAAAAATACCATATTTTAGCTTTTTATTCGAATTTTGGAGAATTTATTTGTCCACTTAATTAATGTACATAAAATATTTATAAAAAAATTATAAAATAAATAAAAAATCACTTTACTCACCGTTTTTCAACAGTAACAGAGTTGACACTGAATAAGGGTACGTACCCGGCATACAATTGGGTTCCTTACTCAACAACGCACTAAACAAGACTGAACAGTTCAAAACACATTTTGTTGATTTTAGCTAAGTTATGATGGAGAAGCATAAGAGAAATATACGCGTCATAACGTTTAACAAACATTTTGCAATAAAATGAGTGGACGTAACAGAGGGGACCAAAACCTGGGGACACAAATTTTCTTCATAAAAATTATACAAAAAAATTATTTTTCATCATTCTTTTCTATATATGGTATTAATATACACAAACTGAATAACAAAAATTGTAAATATTATTTTTTTTCAATTTTATTTCAACTGAAAATAACTATTAAATTTTTATAAATTGGCTCGGGACACAGGTTTTTGCTAAACCTTTGACATTGAAAATATTTTTTAAGTTATTTTCAGATAATTAATTATTTTTTTTTTATAATATAGTTACGTAGAATCGATAATAATTTATAAAAATGCAGATATTTTTCTATTTTCTTTTTGAAGAAACAAAATATAAAATAGTAAAGTCTGGGGACACCAATTGGTCATGTTTTTTAAGAACGACCCATATACGGTTATTGTAAACTTTTGTTAGCTTTCAATTGCATTAAAATTGTTCAATTGGATCGTAAGATGTAAATGATTGAGTTGAACCACTTCTTTAAGCTGAATAACGATAAATTGCAAATATCTCGAAAACTTATCAATAAAAAAAAAAATTACTTGATTTTCAGAATAACCGATCAATTCTATGTACATAGTAATATGCGGAAAAAATTCTACCCACGCGTAGTGATATAACGATACGAGTACCGAGTACAGAATATCGATACTTTTCATGAGTACTGAGTAGTATCGAGGATTCGATACTTTTTGACAAGTACTGAGTAAATATCGCGAATACCAAAAGGTATCGACGTTTTAAAAACTTGTTTAGGTAAAATTTTTCAATTACGTTGAAAAATGTTTAAAAATTACCCCATAACGTTAATTTACTTCAATACTTACTGTCATAACTCAAAAAACCGAAAAATTAATATATATTTTGTTCTGGTCAACTACTGGTAATCGCTATGAAATTTTTATTACACCCATAGAAGAAGAGGTAGCAGTCATGTGGACATTTGGCTCGATTAAAACTTTTTAAATAATTGGAAAACGAATCTCTTGCCATACCTTAACACTGGCCCACACAAGAAAAGTGGTATTTGCTTTTAACCAGACCCACATATCGACATGTATTGAGGTCCATTTGACTCTTGCACCTCCTAAATTTGCTGCTAATTGCGAAAATTATGAAAAAATGGCAAAAACGAGTCAAACGGACCTCAGATTCGGATTCAGTGAGTCGAAATACGTCGCGGCAAGTGGGTCTGGTTAAAAGCACACACACCATTTTTTTTTTCATATGTATATGTAAACAAAGCAACCTGTTTTTTGTTAACTTTTCGCGTTTGCTCTAAAATACTTGGAAGTACGAGTATTATCGATACTTTTTTGTAAATATAAGTACTGGCATCGATCCTTTTTTAGAGTATTATAAATGAGTACTAGTATCGATACTTTTCTAAAAAGTTCCATCACTACCCACGCGATCAGTCACACCTCACGAAAGGGTACCACTACTCTAGGAATACATAGCATGAAGTCATGAACCTGTACATTACGCAATAAAAGTTTGTACTCAAACAGTCTCAACTGGCTAAAATCCTTAAACATTAACGCTTAAAGCGTTGATAT